TGGGCATTCAGGAAGATGGACTGGTCGAAGTGGCGTTCACGGATCGCCGATATTCCACACAGGAGCTTACTCTCCTAACCGGGGCAGATGCTGACACATTGGCTGGTGAGCTTAATGAGTCCTTGGTAGACCTGTGTGACCACGTCATGCCCCGCCGCACTCTGGTAAAGGGTCGTAAATCGGTACATTGGTGGTCTGATGAAATAGCTGTACTGCGTCAGACTAGCTGCAGAACGCGTAGGAGGTATCAGCACGCTGGCCGGAGAGAAGATATTGAGGCTAGGGACAGAGAGCGAGCAGCCTATTCTTCTGCAAGGAAGGATCTGAGAAGGGCTATTCGAGTTTCCCAGAGTGAATCGTGGAGAAGGCTCTGTCTATTGGTCGACGAGGATCCTTGGGGACTACCCTACAGGATAGTGATGAAAAAGCTAGGCACCAGGACCCTTCTACCCGAGGGTCAACAGTTGGCTATTGCTTCCGCGCTATTTCCATCCCGGCCGGCTGTAACATGGACCAGCGTGGTCGCCACAGTAGGATTAGCTCAGCAAGTTGAGTTGTGCAATCTGGCTGAGTTGGCCTTGATGGCTTCCAGGTTACCGAGGGGTAAGGTTCCAGGTCCAGACTACGTYCCTAACGAAATGGTCGCTGAGCTGGCTAGAGCGAGATCAGCTATGTTTTTAAGTGTATTTAACATGTGCCTTGAGACWGGCGTTTTTCCGGATAGGTGGAAGGTTGCGAGGATGGTGCTTTTGTATAAAGGTAATGCGAAACCCCTGACCCAGTCTTCTAGTTATCGGCCCCTCTCGCTGCTAGATAGAGTGAGCAAGCTCTTCGAGCGTCTCTTACTTTGCAGGATGAATGCTCAACATAGATGCCACCAGCGGCCTCAGTGACTGTCAGTTTGGCTTTCGCCGAGGAAGATCGACCAGTRACGCTCTGAAGTGTGTTATTGCTATAGCGGAGAAGGCAGCCAGCTAGTGGCCCGTCTCAAAAAAGACTGTTGTGCGCATAAGTCGCCTTGGACGTGAAGAATGTATTMAACTCGGCTCCACGGTTACTTGTTGATGCAGCACTTCGTCGACGAGGGTTTCCAGCATACCTAATTAGAATTTTGCGATCTTATATGAGTGGCCGAACTCTATTAGTAAACAGCGAAGGTGAAGTTCCCAACAGGATTGTTGTATTATGTGGTGTCCCTTAGGGTTCGGTTATTGGACCTTGCTTGTGGAACATTTTCTACRACGACCTCCTGCGACAGGAGCTCCAAGGCGAAGTGAGGCTGGTTGGTTTTGCTGATGACATTGCGCTGGTCATCTCGGCACCTAATGCGGACCTGCCAGAGAGCATTGGCAATCTAGCACTGGCACTGGTCAACCATTGGATGCAGGAGAACGGATTGCAGGTGGCGCCGCAAAAGTCTGAAGTGGTTGTCCTGACCAAAAAACCAGCGTATCGGAACCCTATTTTATGAATTATTATGAAATTGTATTTATTATTTTTGTATCCGTAGGTTTTCAAATTATATTATTAAATCATTTAAATTTAATATTGAGGAATTAATTAAAATGATTTAATAATATCTGCAAACCTATTACGGATACAAAAATAATAAATAAAATTTCATAATAATTCATAAAATTCTAGTATGATTGGTGAAAAATTCAATAATATTAATCGAAACTTTGACTGGTTGCCATTTAGTCAATTTTGATTTTAGAGGTATGGTAAAAAGGACCAAATCAACTTAAAAAATTCGGTCTATCCGAATTTGGTATTCAAAACGCCTGTTGCCATTTAAAAAAATGCAAGTTGTATTGCGCATGCACACACGTATAGATCTAAAAATGTAAAAATCATCAATAAATGTGTATTTATGTATTCCCTATCCCCTCCCGAAATCCGCATATTAATCCGATGTCACTGGACAGAATTATTTAGTGTTACCTTTAAAAGGAAACACACTGTATAAGACGAATATAACACATGAGGATGTAGCGTCCTTTTAAGAGATTCAAATCAGTTTTTAATAACATAATTCATAAAATGTTTGATTTTAAAACCAAAAGCTTAAAAATTGATAGCACAACTGTTTATAGAAGTTGATCTTACTGGAAAAAAAAAGCTTAACATAAAGCCATATGACCATCATAATAAGTTATGTATAGATTATGTCCACATACAGGCGGCAATTCTGCGCTGTTATAAAAAAGTGAAATTGAACTAGATTCGATGATTTAAGGTACTTAGGTAAATATCATATCATCTTGATGAAATTTCTACTTAAATATAATTATTAAAATATTAATTATCATGTACACTTATTAAAATAAATTTATTATAATAGTTATTCATAAATGGTTTGTTCAAATATATATATTAACAACAAATATTTGCATCACAAAATGATCATTTAAACGAGGAACATTTTTTATCTAACGTTTAAAATTTACATCATTTTCATCTAATATTTACAAAACAAAATACGTATATATATATATATGTATATATAAAAAAAAAAACAATAAAAATAAAAAAATTACATGAAAAAGATTTTTAACCAGTGTATATAAAATGTACTACCATTTTTTCCAGAGAAAATTATTTGAAGGACACAATATACACTTGAACTTTAACAAGGAGACAGAATACTTTTTTTGTAGTATCGAGGAAGACTAATGCTATATTATCAAGCAAGTATGCTTGTAACATTTGAGTTATAAAATTACCTTCAAAACAAATCAGTCAAATAATGTAAACCATACACCAACAATTTTTAAGCAACTTCAGCTCCTAAATCTAATATACCGGCTTCAGCTATAGGCACGTAACGTTCGTCAATCTTGAGCAGTACTATAGTTTTATCAACGTGAGATCTCTTTGACAAGTCACGGTGATTTGGAACCCATTGATGCACCACCTTAAAATGTAAGAGTCAAAAGTTTTATACTTAATCTATATCTAAAAAAATTATTAACATATATATCTGTGATATAGAAGAAAGTAATAAATTCAAGTTAATATATTTTTTTCAAATGAGAGTTGTACTTTTTTTTCTCCTGTCAATTGTTGAGCAAATAACTTTTAAACATTTTGATAAAGACATGTAGCCAGAATTTGATATAGTTGAGTGTTTTAATTTAATTTTTAAATATATATGGGAGGATTTACATACTCATTATTGCAATTGTCAATCTTCATATTAATATCCAATATGAAACAACTATACACAACAACATATTTTGTAGACATTTTAATTATATGGTACATACATTAGGGCCRATGGAGTGTTTCAAAACCTTAAGCTACCTACTAGTTATGCTACTTTTTTGTTGTATTTAAATCAAAATTCTAACAAGTAATTTTGAATAATTCAATTTTGTGTACCAAAAATGATAGTAGGTTTGAATATTGAGGTAATGAAGATTTGAAAATAATAGTGAAATATTAACCTAAAAATAATTGTTAACACTTTTTTTTCATTTGGAATATTTGAAAATATTAAGGTCATTCGTATACAAATATACAATTTAATTCCAAAAATAATAGAAGAAAAAATGTGTGAGCATGCTACACAATCAACCTATAACATTAAGTAATAAGTAATATGTTTTCATATAAACGAGATACCACATAAAGTTGAGTTTTATATAGATACCTATTATAAATTAATTATATAACATTTAGCTCAGATATTATGTTAAACCAACATAAAATAAAGTACAACCCACCACCTCCCCCCCCC